AACATTTAAAAACTGTCCCAAAAGGGGCAAACCCCAAGAAACAGCATTGCACTCGGCCACGTTATGTACACAAGTATTACAGAAAAAAAAGAAAAACATTTTATCTACCTAGTCTTTTAATGCATATACAGAAAACCAGTCATTATCGATATTATGCTAAAACCCCATTCTGAGCTTCCAATTTATAGAATAGTCTTTGGGTTCACATTTGAGCAAGACATGTCCATTCATGCGACAATAGCATACTGGTAAAAAGACAGAAAAAAAAAACACCATATTACTAAAAGTACTTTTAAACATGTAAATAAAACAATAGAGATTGGAATAAAATATAAACAAATATAGAAATAAAAATGACAGGAAGACAGCTTTGTTTCAATTGGCGGTTATGAATTTGGCTATTATATAATTTGACCACAGTCTGAATATGAATCTTGGCACACAGGACAGGAAGGGTAGAGGGTGAAGGGGGACAAGTATGCGGGGGAGGGGCAGGGGGGTGCAACTGCTGTCCATTACGAGGTGCGATTCTCACCTAACCCCATACGAACAAGGGCTCGCTGGTGCATATAAAGCAGAGGTATACTGAGACTAAGAAATAAAGGATATGCAATTAGTATTCCTTTTGGCTAACTCCTTAGAAGTATGTATGCCTTCTTTTTTTATTCTTATCTTTATAAGGGGGGAGGGGAGATCTGTCCATTTTATGTATTAATTTGACTTACTTGTTATTTAATGTTTTGTTACATTTTTAAAGAAGCCATTCAACTCCTAAACGAATTAAGCACCTTTACAGAGTTAACATGTCTGATGTAAATATATATCTTTATTTATTCAGTCAGTCAATTGAAGAAGAAAAATATTTCTTTTTTAAAGTATAATACATAAACTGGGTTCCATGACAACATGGTGATTATGTGTTGTGAATCAGCACATGGAACCAGCATTACATATTTACAGTGGATACAAGCTACAACCTCTACACTCTTCCTATTATGGCAATCTTACATAGGTTAAGTTCTTTCTAGTTTTCGTGCTAGTTTTAGTGGTGGTGTGCCAGCTTTCTAGTCTATGATTTAAACTATTTTTGCATATAACAAGTGCAAATATACGACTAGGGTCCCAATCTATTTCTGCATCACTGTGTATCTCAGATCTATTGGATTTTTTTCTAATGTTGTTATTGTTACAAAAAAGAAAAAAAAAAAAAAAAACTGATAAAGTTAACAGAGCTGTATGAAACATGTCAACTTGATTCACTGTTTGTTTACAGAATACAAAGCAGTAATGTGTATATATAGCATAAAATATGTATGATAATATAATTCTTGATATAAACTTAAGGTAGATTGCATTTGAATCTGTACCATTCATACACTAACATATGTACAGGCATGAAAAATACTGTGTACATATAAATGTATATAGATATATTTATATTTGTATGTCTTCTATGTACTGGTTTGCCTACAGTTATATATGTAACTAATAAATGAACCTGCCCTCTCCACTTGATCATGTATATCTATCTACATATATACATACAATCATGCATGTACCCAAACAATCAAATTATAGTCCTTTCCATTCCAGAGAAGATAGAGGGTTCAAAAGACCCAATACACCTTCCTAAACTCCTTTATTCCACACCTCTAAAAGATGTCATACTTTCTGCATTCATCAGACCACTCAGTCCAGCCAACTACACAAGTGCTTCTAGCCACTTAATGGCACAATACACTAGTGCATGTCCCTTGCATTCCTATCACTCCTTGTCCTTCCTTCTAGAAATTGTAAGATATGAAAACAGTTGAATACTCCCTTACTTTCTCTCTTTCTCTCTCATTCTCTCCCTCTAAAAGAAAGGAAAAATCCAGTACCTTTTGTGTCCCTACATTCTAATAGTCAAAATATCTTACAAAAATACAATAGCACAGCAGGCGTGCTTTTTGTAATGACGAAGGTGGTCATATCCTCACTTATATACACAAGATCCACCCTTCATTACAAAGCATCCACCTTTATCCACAGTAGGATTATGAATACATATAAATAATTTAGAAAAACTGTAACAACAATTATAATATACTCACTTATCTACTTGCTGGCTTGCAACAATCTCTCGGACCATTACCTCTATGACTCTTACCTATGTATGGACTGGGAGTGAAACAGCCAATCGACACTAAGATGCAAATACAATTTGCTTCAAAACCAACACATTGCTGTCCAGCTTCCCCAACTATCTTCCGAGCAGGTATATTTTTTTTCTTTTTTAAAAATCTTTTTAAAGCTTTTGAATATACTACTATTCAGCTATGATGAATTAAAGCATGCAAGAAGTGAAAGAAATACAAGAAGAAAGAAAAGAACAAAGAAAAGAAAAAGGAAATGGGAAAAGAATAAAATAATAAAATGAAAAGGAAGATATTAATGGAAGAGAGCTGAGAAGGATCTAATATTTATGACAATATTAGAAATGGTGACATTAATAATAATAGTAATAGCAGTAATAATAATAATAATAATAAAAAATAATAACAATAATAGTAATAATAATAATGATAATATCAATAATATCAACAATATTGATATCAATATTGATAACAATAACAAAATGAAGAGCTATTATGGAAATAATTATAATAATAATAATAATGGTATTGATAACAATAAACACAACAATAATAATGACAATTAAAAAAAATAATAATAATGATAATATAAACAATAAGAAAAATTAAAAATACTAACAAATATAACAACAATAATAATCTAACAATAATGACAATAACTTCAGCAACAATAAAAACAATGGTAAAAACATATATATATATATATATATATATATATATATATATATATATATATATATATATATATATATATATATATATATATATATATATATATATACATATATAATATATATATATATATATATACATATATATATATTATATATATTATATATATATTATATATATATATATATATATATATATATATATATATATATATAATGACCTTTTGAAAATATTTTGTGTGTCTGAAAAAAGGGAACGAATCCTCTGAACATCATCAGTAATGAATAGTTGAGGAGTCAACAAATCATGAAATAAGACAAAACTGAAACAGAAACTGAAACTAACAAAAGAAAGAAAGAGAGAAAGAGGGAAGGAAAATAGAAGAAAGGAAAGAGGGACTCTAACTGAATGCCAGACAACTATACATACATAATATCTCTTGGTCCAAGGAAGTCAAAATTGATGAGAAAAGACTTAAAATCAAGGGTGTAAGATTGACAGAAGAAAGCAAGCGAAGTTACAAGAAGTGAGCTGAAGAATAAGAGAAACGCAGGGAATATAGACGTGAAAAATAACTTGCCTTAAATACTTGTCACACGTTTGCATCGGGTTTGAAGCCTTGCAACATCCATTTCTATTTTCGAGGATGAATGAAAAAAGAAGCCAAATTAAATGAACAAGAGAAAGGGCACATAGTAAATCATAAAAGGAAATATTAGGATTAATAATAATGATAATCATCATACTGACAACATCAAAAGCAAGAGTATAAAGATAATCATAACAAAAGTAAGTGGGAGACATGAAAAATATACATGAATAGTAATAATAACAATAATCAGTGGTCCAATAATGGATGCATCATTTCAAATAATACACTAATGAACCCACAAATAAAAACAACTAAAATATCAGTGATGAACAATCGTATCATACTAGTAAAAAAAAGCATGTAAAAATAGCATATATAAGCAGTAACAAAGGCAAAAAGAAGGAAGGCAGAAAATACTATCACAAGGCCTAAACTCCTATCCAGCTTACTTCCTCCTAGGATTCCCTTCAGGACACTCCCGTGGGGAACAGGGGGACAACTCTTTAATATCAGTCCTCTAGTGAGAGGGAATTTTACGAGAGCATTGAGGCTCTTGTGATGTGAGAGAAGAATATGGTAAATGTGCAGTCTTTTTGGTGTAACCTGTGGTAATATTATTTACCCCAAGTTCTGTTTCTGAGGCATCAAAGTAGTGAAATACTCCCATGAATCATTCATGGTTCTGGCATAAATATGCCATCTAAAATTCATGACTTTCATTTTTATATGATTCAAGAAATGTGGAATCTTAAAGAGTACAAAAAATAACAACACATACTTTCAAACCTCAAATCTCACTAAAATATTTACTGTATAACATGCTTCATGAGTCTGTAATAACAGATCTATTCTCATTTTGTTCAATAGTGAAAGATATAAAACGAGCAATCTTTTAAAAAGTTTTAAAAATAATGAAAATAAAAAATAAGAACTGGCACAACAAATGTTTGGCAGCATTCACAAATGACATGTATTCTTTTTTTTATTATAAATACATTTCACTGATTTCATATTTCTTATCTCTTATCTTTAAATATCCTCAATGGTTAACATTACTGTATATGTATCATTTGGATTTCTTTGGTCCCCTGAAACACATATTTCTGTGAATGCACCAACTATCTGTACGAAGAAATGGAATCATCTTCAGCAGTTGAAAAAGAAACAAAGAAAAAAGAAAAAATATTGTAAAAATAAACAAAACAATGAATAAAAAGAGGTCTAAACTTTACGTAAAATGATTCTCATAAAGAACAGATAGTACTTATGCATACCTGATAGACAAGTTATATGGCTAGCATATATATATATATATAAGTATATATATACCATTAACACACTGTACTACAGAATATTTCTCTAAATATATGGAAATATACAAGCCCTGATAATCATGGTGATATGATAAGCTATATGAATTAAGTTCTTCCCCTGAAAAAAGGGGGAAGAAAGCAATAAAATTTCAGATTCAATTGTAAATAAGTAATAATAATAATAATAATGATAATAATAATAATAATAATAATAATGATAATAATAATAACAATAATAATAATGAAAATAAAAATAAAAAGCGAATGTCTTGAAGAAATGACTTGAGT